TATCTTTATTGAATATTTAATTGAGATTTTACATAAAATACAATTCTGCTTTTAAAATATTATAGAAAGAATAGAAGTTCAGACTAATTTATCTGCGACCTAAACCAACCAGAATAGCCAAAGCTCATCTAGATTTGAGTATTAGTAATAATATTATTGTTTTTTTTTTATCTTTAATATTACTATAAAAATAAGCTAAGTATGATTTGTATTTCTAGTGTGTTATATTAGGTATTTTATTTGATATCTGTAGTTTTATATTAATAATTGTTATTAAATAGTAAGATTATTATAAGTAGTCCTGTATTATTTTACCAATAATCATTTCGCAAATATAACATTTTGCCAAAAATAAAATTCATTACCATGTTTTATTTTACAAATACATATTTTATCAACAAGTTTATTTCACTAACAGCTTATTTTATCCAAACTTGTTTCACAACAAGTTTTTTTTACATTAACTCTAATTCCAACCTAACCCTAACGACGATAAGCAGAGTTATTTTGTCGATGAAATGAGCTTCAGTGAAATAAACTGTCAGATAAATGAACTTGTCAGTGAAATAAGGATCGATTAAGTAAAAGCATGTTGCAAACTCGTAAGACCATGGTCTCATATTATTAAGAACAGGTATAAACTAGGTTTTAACATCTCTAGCATTGTTTATTTTCTTAAATGTTTTTCATTCGTATTTTTTATTTACCTTTAAATTTGGTTCTACATGCATATACATTAGGTAAGATACAACCCCTTAGAAAAAATGTCACAAATATATGTTTAAGAAAATTAGGATACTTGAGTTAAATGCAATTATCCCTCGTGCATAGAATGCAGAAGTTATTGTCTGTTAAGGCTAATAAAATACCTTTACTAGGTGTATAGTGCCAATCTCTGGTGAGGACTTTTAAAAAAAGGAGACCAGAAACGACGTGATGTTTATAATAAACTACAACTACAATTGAAGCAAATAAAATATGAGAAGTTTTAATTTACAGTCTGAGAATTAGTGTCATGTATTTCTAACAAAGCAGCGCAGTTTAAAAGATTGCACTTAACAAATATGTCATTAATTTGAATACTGAATTCATTTGATTACATTACTAGAAATACATAACAGATATACATAACAGGTGTATTTCAAAGTAAATTTAAAATTACTTTTTTTATATGGTATTTGACATGGCTAATCTTTATAAAAATGGTTACCAATTCTATCAACTGTCAAACACGCGACAACCAATTTTAATAGGCGCCCATACATACATACAATGCAAAATGTTGTATAAAGATTGCAAAACTCAGAGAATCGCAAGGAGATTGATTGATGAGAAATTATACTGATGCTTATATGGAATATAATAAGAATTCGAATCGTAGTCAGAATACAATTCATTCATCACCGTATAAAGAAAGTAAAATATAAATATACTGCGCGAAATATAAATTCAACCAACTGTAAAGTAACGCGTAATATTTAAATCATTTATATATATATATAAAAAAAGTTCAGTAAATCATTATTAATACGACAATGTCAGTCTAACAATAGTATCTGTACTGTGATCTTTTTTGAATCGTTAGCATAATATCTTAAGTTTAAGGGTTATTCTCCGCCACACCTCCTTTATATAAATGAATTCTTCTGTATTCGGAGTTTAGTGATAAATTGATACTTTTACGATTCTTTTGTAATATTTTGACATCAATCAAATAATGACGAGTGATGCAACAAAGAAAGGTCTAAGAAACTGATGATTCAATGTGAGGGTATATAAATGATAAATTTTCAACAATGGTAATCAAAAAAAAAGATTGTTAATAAGAAGTCAAGTGGCTTGCTGATATTTTCACATTTTTTGCGACAAGTGAATAATCTTTTACTTTTTTTTTCCTTTCTTTTTTTTTTAAAGCAATAATATAAAACAAAATATGACACTTACACGGGCACAACGTGCACAACGCGACAAATCTAACATGAGGTGATTAAAAATATAATGACTGTAAAAAAAAAAAAATAAATAAATTAAAAAAAAAAAAAGTTGGAGAAGCTTAGACTTCTAATAACCATTCCTCTAACGTATTTATTAAAATTATAAATTTTTGATTGCATTTATGGTAATTATTAACATGAAATTTTTATAAATAATTTATTGCGGAATAATTTCCTGTTGGTAGATCAAATTTATCTAAAGAGCCTACCGCTAAGTCAGCAGGCATTAGTTCAACTGGAAAAGCCATTAATTCTGTTGAAACAATGAAGGTGGATCGATTTAAACACAAACAACGACGAACTAGAAGTGGAAGGAAGGTTGCAGATTATCATGAACCGACTTCTTCATCAGAGGAAGATGAATACTTTTTAAGTAATAACAAAGATGTTAATGACCGTACGCGAGGGAAGAAAGTGTCGAAATGTGACCAGCGAGTAAATAATAAGTCTTATAAAAAAAACTTTTAGATTCAAAATATGATAATAGTCTTTATTAATATATTAAATTTCCTAGTCAAGAATTCCAAGTACTCAAAGTACTTCTGAATATATCAACGAACAATTCCACGTACCAGAAAATATGTCTTCTTCAGGTACTTATACACTTACAAACTTCTCGGTTAATGGATTTTTTAAAATCATTGAAAGCCTAAAATACATATACAATTTTGAAATGATCGTCGCGTTACTTATTCAATACCACAGATGGTGAACAAGAGAGTTTACAAGAACATAATCTTGGGTTTCCTATATTTACTAAAGAATTTCTAGCTTATGATAACGGTAAAATCCGAATATTTATTACGAGGTATAATTATATAATTGTTAATTTATTTGTTTGCCTTAATCTTAGAACAACGTCGCCAACAAGAAAAACTTGAACAAAAAAAGAAATCCACAGATATATTTATCGAATCTCTTCGTATAAAAGTGCATGCCCTGAGAGCAGATGATGATAGAATCCTTCGGGAGAACCAAGAACTTGAAGAATTAAATACTCAAAAACTTGAATCCTTTGAAAAAATTAAGATGTCATTGATTCAATTAGAAAGAGAAATCGGCCCGACTGTAAGATCTTCTGGAGTGAAATTGGACGACGCTGAAAATATGATTGCTTATATTAACGATTTTCGAAAAAGAGTTGTTGGTGGATGTCTCTTACAACCTTAGTTACTTTGCAAAAGATAAATCTTCGATCTTTGATATTTCATGACCATTCTGTATTTTTAAATTCTCGTGCATCATATTTGATGTACATCATATTAGGTGGTGTAATAAAAAGATTACAGCATTTGCTGTTCAGGCAATTATCTGTTTCTTGAAATTGCTATATAGTTTCAGAGATAATTGTTAATCCAAAAGTTATTAATTAAATCTAACAATGTTTTTTTTATTATTTACAGAGAAATCTAAGAATTATGCATCACCCAGTTCTCTAATTTTAATAATAAATGTTAATTTCTTAACTCTAAAAAAAAAAAACTATACTAATATCATTATGATACAGATTAATTATTCATATTCAAAATTTGAATTATTGAAAATATCTCAATTAAGAAAACGAATTTAATTAGAGACTAAATCGCAAAAAGCATATTTTGTGAGCTACATACAATTAACATGGTAACATGGCAATTAACATTAGTACACGAATATCGATTATGATATGCACCATTTTATAATATTACGTTAAGTTTCAAGTAACACTAGTAAAACTGGGATAAACTTTAGTATAGGTGGCAAATATAATTATCAGAATATAATACAATATATAATAATTAAATAATTTAAGCTAATATAAATAAAATATATTATTTTTACTTCCATTTATAATCTAAATGAATTAAATCATTTTTATATATTATATTTTCTTAATAGTTACATTTGCACCTATACTAAATTTTATCCTTTGTTACTCTTTGTGAATTTTTAAAGAGACTTATATGTAATTACTACAGTAATAGTATCATTTTTATACAGCTCGATAATTTTGGCACAAATTTTTGATTTCATTAAAAACTTTAAATGAGAAAATATTCGTAAAACTAAGAGTATTTTATATGCAGAGGAAAGTGGTTTAAGTTTAGAGGACTTGAAACATAGTATTGCAACTGCAAACTGTATAAATTGTGGAGATTTGAAATATACATAGCTTTGGAATCATCAGTAATTTTTAATTGTTAATGGATTTTTGAATGTTTAAGATTTCATTAAAGCTCAATGTTTATTAAAGAATTTTAGCTAATAACAATAGTCTAATATACATCAGCAATAGTTAATTTTGATCCAATCATATATATGTATTTATTAAATTTATTTGTAGACTGTTTCCGTGATATTGAATTGTCAAAAATGTCGAAATTTTAGAGCTAAGAAACCACATACGTACCAGATTGCACCCGATTGTTGACGTAATTTGATAACCGTATCGATAGTTCTAAATAATTTTTTTTAATCCAGTAATATGCAATTTTAATTATTTAAACTCTTATCTCAATATGTTTATTTTACCAACTTATTAACTAAGTGCAAATTCATTTAAACCATAGAGTTAGCCAAATAAACCAATTTAGTGGTATGCGATAATTTAAAGTTTTTTTGTATTACATAATGATCAGGGGTTTTAAATTTATTACCTGGTATGCACGTATGTAAAAGTCTAAAAAAAATAGAATATATGCTAGTGTGGTTAGTATAGTTTTATACAAGGATATTACTTAATTTTATTTGACAGGGATTTATCCGTGGATCTTTTTTTTTTTTTTTTTTTTTTGATGTGAGAATAAAATGTTCAAAATATTAGTGATATAAAAAATATAGATCAAAAATTTGGTTGAATCACAAATCACTCAATTTGAATTTACTATGTTATTATTACTATTAAATAATGATAAGTTTTTTTTGTAAATTATCGCATCACCTTTAGTAAAAAAATAGGAAATATCGACATATGAATTAAAATCATGCAGATAAAAAATTATAAAAAAATGGGTTAGCGTTATAATCATATGCCTTAAATAGTTTCAAAAATGAGAATATATTTATATATAATAATCTGTAGTAAGAAATTGACATTAAGACGAAATTTGAAAATCAATAAACCATATTACGGCATTTGAAACAAATTGGGTTATTTAGTACGTAAGAGAATTTCAAATTAATTTTAGAAATTAATTCAAGCAGGACGATTAGATTCTTTTTTAAGAAGTTATTTCATGTTTAGATTTTGCGCTAAAATTCATGTTTATATACTTTCTAAATAGATGACAAAAAAAATTTTTTTTTAAAAATATAAATTCACTTGTTTTCCCTTATTGATCTCTCGGTTATAAGACACTAAATGCGTTTAATGTTGTAATTCTAATTACTAGGAATCGGTTAGGTAAATTTGGACATCAAGGTCAGTGATGTTTGATATTTGGATGATTGAATTTAGGGTACTATTTTCTACAGATTAATGGACAAATTCGAAGTAAGCTGAAATGAAATCAAAGAATGGAAAACAAAGACTTGGGTTTGTAAATTTATTTAACGCTTTTGCAGGTGTAACGAAAATAAATACATTAAACATTTGACCAGTATAAAAGCTTCAACAAACAAGGATTTATTAAAGCAGGAAATGCTTGAATGAATTTGAATGAACCACATGATCATTATAAGTGATCTTGTTTAATTACCTTTGTTCTGGATACTGGGTCGTCTTCTGTTTTTATCATAATACATTTATTGGAACATTTATTTAGTGGTTACATACACAACCACGCTGCCATGCGAAACGTCTTTGTTTAAAGTTGTGAAGATCCAAGCCATGTTTTGATTCGTACCTTCATGGAAGCTTCTTTGTTCTATCAAAAAACTTGAATTTATTGTGTAAAATTAGCTAAATTAGCAAGTGGTACCAAAAGTCGTCAAATCATTATTCGGATCTGCGCACGGTCACATTCAAGATTAATCAGATGCGTACTATTTATATGAAGAACCAATTGACATTTAAAGAATACAAAGGAGGATGCATTTATTTTTAAAAAAGTACATGTTATAAAATTCATCTATGTATATCATAACCGCAGTATATGTATGTGTAGTACGTAGTGTATGTAGTAAAAAAGTGGTATATATGTATGCGTATGTTTGTACTTCAACATATTTTTATGTATTTTTATGTATTTTTATGTATTTTTTTATGTATTTTTTATGGTTTTTATGTATTTTTTATGGTTTTTATGTATTTTTTATGGTTTTTATGTATTTTTTAATGTATTTTTAATGTATTTTTATGCAGGGTTGAAAATCCGGTAATGATTTGTAGCGGAAATTAGGGGAGGTATATGTTTCGTAGTTCCGATGATGTACATATGTACATGACGATTTCCGAGAAATTTTTGGATGATCTATACATTATACTAAACGGTATGACAGGGTAGATATTTTCCTCTCGGCGTCATTATCTCCGCCCATTATAATTATTCTGGCAATCAAGTTATATATTCAGGGTTAATAAATAGGTATTGTTACCCAGATTTATACACCGAATCTAGTGTTTTTCCGTAAGATATCCAACGAATGACGCTACCCCCAGGAATCTATTCATTTCCAAATTAATATCAATGATTTTCTATTTTTATTACCATTATTATGATGACGATAACGATAAAGATATGTACCATGAAAAAAAAATAAAATAAAATAATTAATAATGAAAACGCCACAAAAATTCATACATATTAAAACAAAAAATAAAACCCTTGTCATCCATCATCGTGAACCTTTTTAAGTGGTTTAACGCGAACTAACTATTAATTAATACATGTCCGTTATTGTCAATGTGGTTAATCTACTTTATTAAATCTTTAATCGAGTATAAATGCGTAATGGACATCTTTCAATCGGATATAGTATACAAACGCGTATAAGTGCTTACTCAATTCCGTATGAACTTTGTGTTCTTAATTGGAAAAACCGTAAATTTTAATTCTTTGAATGTACTGAATGAGAATAATCTTGTAAAACAAAAATCGAAAATGAATGAAATACTAATTCAAGCTAATTCAAGTTAATTTAAGCAAAGTTATGTTAATTACTTTAGTTGTCATGAGAACATTTCATTTCCCCTTTTCTGAAACAATATAAAAGGTAAGTAAGACACAGGACTTTTCACACCGTAAAGAAGCTTATTCATTAGGACTTATTGAGAGATCTCAAAAATAAAGCTTGAACCTGATCAGGGACCAGTCTGGGTATATATGCTCTAAACTTCGGAAGTTTCCGTTCTTGCATTACAATACCGCGTACATATAAATTATAGTATAAAACTTTTTATTGATTTATCAAAAAATAAAGTATTTTAGTATTCTTTCTTGTTTTATTAAACGGGATAAATGAGAATTCATGCACAAATATAAACGGAACCAATAATATATGATTAATCTTCTCAATCTTTCTACTAATGTCGCGTCCCTTTTCTTCATATGTCATATATATTTTGATTGGTGTTTATTTCAACAAAGAAATAATCTATTACGAGATCTATTTACGAAATTTATTTACAAATTTATTTACAAATTTATTTACAAATCTATTTACGAAACCTATTGCGAATTCATTTCACATATCACATCAAACATTTCAAAGTTTTTTACGTAATTAAAGTATTTTATGTACGTCAATTATACAACGTTCCGTGTTCCGTGTCGTGCAGCATTCGATTATCCGTTCACACTAACTTTTTTTAACATGTGGGCTGTTTAATCAATCTTTCCACCGCGTTTCTAATGACATTTGTAATGTTACATTTCTAAGACATCTGCATCCAAGATTACTCACTTCAGTTATCGAAAATTGATTACTAACATCCACAATTAAAAATGGTTATATGAATACTTTTTTGAAACAAGGAGAAAATCGGACGGACGTGTCATTTCAAGAAAGTCCGCGTTATGTTACAGTACTTCTAAAGATATCTCTAGTCATTACTGTAAAAGATTACACGAACTTTCATTTAAATCAAAATATATTATAAATAGGCTTATTTTTCTCGATAATCACACGTTGTACTATTTGGCGTATCATGTAAATGTATTATTAATATTATTGTTCTTTTGATTTTTTAGGATCCCTTCTCTTTAATTACACGGCAGTAATATTGTTCCCTACTATATTATTAAAATTTT